TCAAGCACCGGTTCCTTTCTTAAAACACTGTTATTGTTTAATAGTTTCTTTTTGGTATTAGCGTTATTCTTTTCTATGTTAGCAATGGGAGTTGACTAAAGCAGCTAGCTATCTGAGTTCTTGGCTGTGTTTTGAGAGAAAAGAAAATTAAAGAATGATGTGGAGAAGAAATCTTTGTGTAGTGGTGGTATTGATTGCAGGAGTTTTTGGAGGTGAACTATACACTGTGGATGGCCGGCCTCACCGTATTCTTTTAGATACAGACGTGGATACTGATGATTTGCTTGCTCTCTCATACCTCTTGAAGCTCAATAGATCAGAATTTGAGTTGGAGGTAAAAACAAGTTATCTGCATTCATTTTCCATCTCATGCTTGAAATTTATTGACGCAGGACAGGTTAGAGGGTCTGGTGGGGTTGGGGATTTAGAGGCTGTTCACCGTAAACATAGGATGTGAGCAGTATGTGTGAACAGTAAAATGGGTTCTGTTTAGGATATAAAAGAGGAAGAAGCAGAAAAAATAATGAGAAAAATAGAAAATCTAAGAGTCACACGTAAGTTTCTTTAGGCATCACATCTATAGAGGATAAAACCCTTAAGCATCACACACACAATCAAAATTGCGTCACACAATCTCAAGAGAAAACTCTTGTCTCTAATGTAAGAAGTTACAAGCATATTTACAGTCCTATGATTCCTAGTAAGAAGTTACAAGAATATTTATGGCACTATGATTCCTAAATTAACAAGAAATAGAATTTCTATTCTAATTAGAGTAGAACTTAGACTTACAAAAAATATTCAGATAGCTAAGAAGACCCTTAAATGAAATATCTAATCCTAATAAAACTAAAAAGCAAATAATAATCTAAGATACCACTTGAATAATAATTACAGAAGAATCTTAAATCATCTAAATAACTATTCAATAGGTTCTTCTTGTTCCTCATCACTTATATATGGTCAATGAATATTTGATGTTTGTGGAAATGGTTGATAGAGACAGGCTAGTGATTGTGGTTGATGCAGGCAGTGACTATAAGTGCTAATGCATGGACTGATGCTGGACATTCTGTGCATCATATTTATGACATTCTATATATGATGAATCGAGATGATATTGCTGTTGGTGTTGGAGGAGAAGGTGGAATACTTGAAGACGGTACCATTTTGCCAGATGTTGGGGGATATCTTCCTATAATTGAACAGGTAATGTAATACTCTTCTCCTTAATCCTTTTCTGGCTCCAATGAATGTTTCTTGAGAAAAGTTAGATGAGATTTTGGCTTATATTGTTCATATTATGCATGAAGGATTGACTTTTGTATATGCTAGGATTTTTTTTTTCCTAGTCAGGGTTTTGGATTTGTTGCTATCTGCTTATATTCTTCATATTGTAATCTTTGGTCGAATTATATCAGGGAGTTTCAACACTTGGAGGTTGTAGATTTAGGCAAGCAATTCCTATAGGACAAGGAGGAAGATTAGACAAAGATACTAACTTTGGGGTTCGAAAATCATTCCTTCCACAGGTAATAAATTGTATTGCAATCTTGGTATTGTTATTGAATACTAGGCTACTACAGCCTTTGCTTCTATTGGATTTCTAGCTCATAGTTTGTTCTTTGAATCAGGGCAACAGGAAATATTCTCCTCTTCAACAGCCTACTGCTCAACAAGTGATGATTGATAAAGTCTCTGCAGGTCCTATCACAGTGTTTCTTATTGGATCTCATACAAACTTTGCCATTTTTCTCACGAATCATCCACATTTGAAGAAAAATGTCGAGCACATATACATAATGGGTGGGGGAGTGGAATCCAGTAACCCGACTGGTTGCTGCCCTGGAAATGGTACCAGTGCTTGTCCAGTCAGTCAGTGTGGTGACACTGGTAACTTGTTTACTGAGTACAATAGTAATCCTTATGCTGAGTTCAATATCTTTGGGGATCCTTTTGCTGCTTATCAGGTGACTGAAAAAATTCATTTTCATATATAATCCAAGAACTTCTCATTTATTTCAATATACTAATATTACCATTGATCCTTGTAACAGTAAGAAGTGTGCTAATTATGTAGGTTCTTCATTCTGGTATTCCAGTCACTCTTGTTCCCCTCGATGCAACAAACACTATCACATTAAGTGAGAAGTTCTTCAAGGCATTTGAGCAGAGGCAGGATACCTATGAGGCACAATATTGCTTCCAGTCCTTGAAAATGGCGCGTGATACTTGGTTTGATTCAAATTTCTACTCGGTATGTTCTTCTATAATATACAAGTTCAAAGAATTCCTTTTGTTGAATTTAACCCTGATTTCTTTGTCTTAACTACTTCAATAGAGCTACTTCATGTGGGATTCATTTACAATTGGTTTAGCAGTCTCCTCAATCATCCGAAATTCCCACAATCAAGATGGGCAAAATGAATTTGCTGATATGAAATATATGAATATAACAGTAGTCACTTCAAATGAACCATTTGGAATATCTGATGGCTCAAATCCATTTTTCGATGGCCGTAATGTTCCAAAGTTCCATTTAAAGAAAGGTGGAGTGCATAGTGGTCATGTCCAGAGAGGACTTTGGGATCCCTTTTGCTTTGTAAAGGGTGGGAAAGGGAAATGCAAGGTAATTGCACTATTTCACTGTGTTAGTAACATGGTAAACATCTTATAGTAGTCGAAGATAAAATTTCTTTGTTTGAATCCAGTTCTCCCACCAAAGAATCTTTCCTCTATTGCTTGTATCAGATTCATGCTAAGTAATACTCTTTCAGCACTTCGTGTTAATGATTATCTGATTGTTTATGTAAAATCTATACCAAAAAAAAATGTAGGATGGTTACACCGCGAAGGTAATAGGTCCTGATGCAGTTCGTGTTCTTGTCGCCAAAAACGCAAAACCTAGTCAGGACATTGGTGGTGAACTTGACAGGGCATTCTACAAAAACTTCTTGGATGTAAGTCATTCAGTTCAATTTCTAAGATTCTATTCATTACCCTGATTTTTGTAGCATTTTGTTCAATGTTGAAGAATTGAACTCTACCATCCTTGACATAATGGTATGCAGGTTATTAATCTTGCGCAGCATACCGGGAGATTCAGTTTTACAACAGAATTTCCTTATTATAGAGAGGTTTTTTATAAACCGGATTTCAGAACCAAAAAGTTGGGGAAACCAGTTATATTTGACATGGATATGAGTGCTGGAGATTTTCTTGCTCTATTTTATCTCCTAAAAGTACCTGTCCAAGTGATTGACCTCAAGGCAAGTTCCTTTTTCCTTGCTTCACTTCCTTTTCTTTTAGCCACTGCCCCCAATGAAAGCAGCAGTTTTTGATGTGCAATGTTCTTTCTCTCCTTTTCCAGGCAATAATAGTAAGTCCAACCAGCTGGGCAAATGCTGCAACAATACATATTGTTTATGATTTACTGCATATGATGGGTCGTGATGACATTCCAGTTGGTCTAGGAGATGTATTTGCCATGAACCAGACTGATCCCCTTTTTCCTGCTGTTGGAGACTGCAAATATGCTAAAGCAATCCCTCATGGGAGTGGAGGATTCCTGGACTCAGATACTCTTTTTGGGTTTGCTCGAGATCTGCCTCGAAGTCCTAGAAGGTGTCATTTCTTTGTTTCTCCATCATTCTATCTGGACAGGTGTTCAATTTTAAGTAGTTTAGTACTGAAATGTTGACAATTTCACTACAGGTACACAGCAGAAAACTCTGTAGAGTTTGGTGCTCCCAGAAATACTTCTCATCCTGAACTAAGACAACCTCTAGCATTTGAAATCTGGGGTTCTGTATTGAAAACCCTGGATCCTGGATCCAAGATTACAGTATTAACCAATGGGCCCTTGACTAACTTAGCAAAGATCATTCTATCCAATACAAGTACAGTCTCAAAGATTCAGGTAAGTAGGTTTGTTTTACTTTCTGTTTTGAATCTTCTGATAAGCTAAAAAAACCTGTTAGGAAACTATAGATGAGCATGGCAGAAAAATTGTGCACATGAAGAGTATAGTTATGCTACTGAATGCTGACGCTAAAAGATCAGTGCATAATAAATCCTGGTATATGAGCATTTTGCACAAGACTGAAATTTTTGCCCATTGGTTTTTATCTCATTGCAGGAGGTTTTTATTGTTGGAGGACACATTAGTAATAGGAGTAGTGATAAA